AAATGGTAGAAGATAAAGCACAAAAAAACTCTCAAGATCAAAATTCCTGGAATGATATTGAAATAAAATTCATGCTGAATTTTATATCTGAGAATTACAAAAAGTGGTATAATCATAAAAATAAAGTTTATGAAGATTTAGTGAAATCAAAAGTTTTACCAGATCGAGATATTGGTTAAGTTAGGAATAAGATGAACAAGCTTCGTGGAAAATATTTTGATGAAAGGAAAGAATGTAATAAAACAGGAGCTAGTCCATCTATATGAGAATGATATGAAAGATTTGATGAATTTTATGGTCATAGAGAAAATGCTAATCCTTCATATATCTCTGATAGGTATCCTTGATTTTAGCATCATGTCTGTTATTCTCTTCCATAATTTGCTTTATAAGTTCTGCATTTCTTGTCTCAACCTCAGCAAGCTTCTTTCTAAGTTCAGGAATCTCAGCATTTTCAATCTCAAGCTTGACTTTCCTAGCTTCAAGCTCAGTAATGCGTTGCCTTAATAAATCTATTTCAGATTGCATAGCCTATATTGTATTGATAATATTCTTACGCTCTGTATGTTAGTATTCAAATCAGAAAAATATGTAGGTTATTTTGGCTGATCGTTAACTTGTTAACGGTTTTTTCCAAGAATTTTTTTTTATTATTACAAGTGAAAAATAAATATATAGTTTGGGACTATGCTTGTCTTACATATTATTTTTTGATAAATTTTTTGATCCTAGCCCTCTTGCTAGTTGGGAAACTATCTACACTAACCCGATCTTTCAATAACCTTACAATTATACCAATTACCCTTTTCATGTTGCTTCGTAGTAATTCGGGATTATCTTTAATTGCAGACTTCATAAGATTAATCTGATATTCGCTACCGCTTGTGAAGTAAATACCATCCAGAGTATACAGTCAACCCTTGATATAACGAATTTTATGTCCTGAACTTCAACTTCGCTATAGAGCTATAGTGAATTTTTTAAAGAATTTGATTGGCTAGTTCGTTATAACGAGGGTAAATTTAATATAGTTGTCCAAAAAATTCGTTATATAAAAATTCGCTATAGAGAGGTATGACTGTATATGATAAAATGCCACTCCGTACCTGTGGTCATAATACTATAGATATAGTCAAAATAGTCATTCCCAAATGCTTGATCCGCAGTTCATTTTTTCTTATTTGTTTGGAATGTACTTTCAAGTTACGCCAGACTCTAAGAAATAGACTATCATTAATGTCTCTAATTCATTAAAAAGTGAAAATGTGAATACTATGCCCACCTGCGCATATCCAATCTTAATATTTCGTGGTCTTCCTTCAGTGATGCAGAGGAGGTCTTCCAGACTTTTGATTGCGTAGTCTACTCAACCTGTTGTGTCCTTACTGAAAACGTCCTTTTGAAATACTATAAATATATCTTGGAAGGTAAGTTTTTTAGCTATAGCGATGGATGTATAGAGAATCAATGAAATAAATTCACAATGCATCGCTTCATTAGCATTGATCATAGTTTTCACATTTGAAAGTTTTAAGATAATGTCTTCCATACAGTATTTGAATGCCTTATCATCATCACTAATCTCCTTGAAAACTCCAGAGAAAATTAGTTAATATATGTAATACTCCAATCTGAAAAATTAAGAAAGTAATCACATACTAGGAGTAAACTGCTTGATATTTGTTATATCCTTCTCATTGATCTTATTTCTACATAACATTTCCTTCAGGTCATTGAGAGTTTTAAGCGAGGAATAGTTTCGTAACTTCTGGCTAAGACCTTCGATAAAGTTTACAAGTCTTGTTACTGGGCTCCTTTCATGTCATAGCGTTCAAGTTTTTCTTCAGTTAGCTTAAGAAAATCAAGATCAGCAATTTCTTCTTTTCGTAAAATTTTAAAGTGAGGCTCCTTAAGTTTCAAGTCTTTCTTTTTCAAATATTCAATAAGCTTCTCTGTATCGAAATCCTTAACAATGTCCGATATTGTTCTAGTGAAAATTTTTTCTATTATTGGGCTTGGAGAAGAAGGTGTAGAGGCTTATGAAGACATAGTTTTTATATGTGAGTTTTTACTTGCGAAAAATATGCAGTTACAGGTAAAGCTGGTTTATGGATATAAAGTATTTTTTTTGTTTCTGAAGTGAAGCGTTCAGATAGAAATAATAGATTTTTTTGTATTGATTCATAATGCATTTACCCAATATATATGCAATTAAGATGTAGTATAGAACTATCAGGTGATTGTATTACATCATTTCACATGACATTTTTTAAGATTTACAAGAACGTAATATATGTTTTATTTAAGAAATAAAAAAAATGTTGCTGGAACCCAAGGCCTACAATACATAAAAATTGCGAATATATCGCTATTATATGATATTTTAAATAAATACATAAATATTAATTCTATCATTAGGGGATCGTTGGAGAAAATAGTTAGAAATTAACACATGTGAAGGCATTCCTATTTCATTTTGACGTTCCCTATGAGCATATTCATCAATTTGGCTTTCAATTGTATTTTCCCTGGTATCATTGATCTTCCAGAGTAAAAACTCAAGAAGAGGAATCTTTTCAAATAAGGATGGCCACCTTTCTTTAATCATAATCCTTAACTGATCAACTGTTTTGTCAGTAGAGATTTTAAGCGTAGTAATATTTCCTTCTGATAAATTTGATTTTAAAGTTGTGTTACGAGATAAAAGAAGTCAATTGAGAGTAATAATAGTATTAGACATCTTGCTTTCCTAAATATAAGAACCCATAGTGAGAAAAATTCGCTCTCATATATACATAACTTCTGGTATATACAAACCTTAAAATTTTTGCGGAAAGTTGGCTGAACTTCTACATACTCCTACATGCTTTATATCTTGCTGGGAAAAATATAAGGAGGTATGAGGCGTAATTAGTATTGTTGTAAGATGGCAAGAGTCTCTTAAAAGCATATGCAAGCGGAATCTTATCTTTTCATATGAAGATCTACCGAAAAGATATATAGTTAGTTTTATGCCTGGCGATCTCTAAATTGCAAAGGTCCTCAGCCCTTCATAACATATGCTTTTGTCAGCACTATTTACTTTTAGAGCTGATCCTGTACCGCAACTAGACATTCTTTCACATTTTTTCTCATGTATGTTCAGGGAAAAAATAAAGAATAAAGGTTAATATGGTTTCTTTTTTGAATATATATGCAAAAATTAATATGTCGCATAAGACCTGATTGATGATCTACTTATTTTTCTGTCGCACAATACATAGCTCAGCAAAAAGTCTTCTGAACTAGCGATCACCGCTCTGATTGATGATCATTATTTCAGACACAATTTTGAATATATGCTAGCTAGAGATAAATATAATCATGACAAGTAATACTAATAATAAATTTGTTCAAAGTGAAATACCTGAAAATTAACTATATGAAGTGTTTTTGTATAAGAAGATGGATGTACTAGCTATTCAGGAACGTCTAACCGAAAGAAATCTTGGTATTAATGATAATGCAAACCAAATAGCATTAAATCAAAGCAAGAAAGCGGAAACACTTGATTATACAAGTAGACTATTGTTTGATTTGGTGGAGAAAATTATAACGATAGATGAGGATCTTGAGATTGGTTGTCACCCAACCCTTAATACATTACATTGATATAGAGAAGATCTTATCGATAGATCATTGGGGAAATTTTCACTTAGAAAAAAATACCATTTGCTTTTATATCAGGAAGAGGATATAAGCATTATTCAAAATTATCTTGGTATTATCAGTTATACTGACGAAGAAACAATAAAAGAAGAAACTGAGAAAGATGTAAGAGCATATTTTCAAAAGTTTAGACATTCCAAATATGATAATACAGAAATTCATCAATAGGGGGTAAAATGCTAATCTATATTTTTTGTCGTATAGGGTTTAATCCAGCAAAAAATCTTCTGAGCTGATCACTGATCCAAGATTAGTTAGATTGGTAGAATACCACTATTCTGGGGCTAATATTCTTTCACCAGCTCTATGTCATCGGCGTATCTGAGATAGAACCAAATTCTGATTATCTCGCATACTTAAATCTAAAAAGTTTTGAGCTAAAGTCTGTCTACTAGCAACGTTGTTCTGTGTAAGATGATTTATAACTAATCTAATCAGATCAGGAGTTATTATAGTACCTACAAAATTCTCGACATGAATATTTGGATTAAGTGAAACAAGCTGATCTATGGCTTCTTTGCTAATATTTTCACATCCTTTCAGATCAAGATATTTTAAATTAAGACATGAACAAGCAATTTCTTTGATAGTCATATCACTAATTTCACAAAATCTAAGGCTAAGATGCCAGAGCTTTGGACAGGAATAAATAATATTACAAATAGATGGTTCAAGAATCTCCGTGCAGTATGAAATGTTTAAATATTCTAATTTATGGCATGACTGTGTGATTTTCCATAAACCTCTATCACCTACTTCTCAAACACGAAGATTTACATAGTTACCCGATTGATTATCGCATAAATTGAGATACTTCAGCTTTAGACATAATACTGCTATCACCTCTAATGATCTATTACTAAATCCTATACTATTTTTGAAACCCAAATGAATTGTAATTGGGCATGACTGCACAATGCCTATAATTTTTTCATCCCGAAGTGAATAGTAGTAGGAAATTTCAAGATGAGTTACACCTGAATAATAAACCGGCTTCTGCCTCCCACGTACTAATTTTATGAATTTCTTCAAATGAGAGCAGTCCTTTTTACAGTAATTATTTGGAAAAGATTGCTTGGGATATAAGTCATTTCCCTTTAGCTCAATGCGTCTCCATAGAATAGGGACACTGCATCTGTACTACAATCAGGAAACATATAGAGTGGGATAGAGGGATTTCTCTATTGCTAAAAAATGTAAAATCTGTTCTAATAGTTCTGGTATAATAAAAATGCTTGTATGCGTCATAAATAATAAATCTGTATCTTTAATCAAAAAATAAAATTACGTATAATGATGATCACTGCTCTAGACTAAGTCTTTCTATTATCTCATCTAATGCAAGCTCCTGTAAACTACTTATAAGAACTTTAAACGTATTCTCAGTTAATAATCCTTTGAAGAATAGCTATTTGAGATATTCTTCATAGTAGTCCACGCTTTTGTTGCATTCTATTAGTTCAGTCAGGGATTTTACCAAAAATGGACATCGATTCTAGAATGATCTGCGGTAAATCCTTGGATTTTGATTGGCACAT